TTCCTTCCTTCCTTCCTTGAGCAGAAAAAGCCATCCTCAATGTCAATACTTTCGTTGGTTTACTCAATGTTGATCCTGCTTGCTACAGATCAGATATTGGGAAGTTATATGCACATTCCTCTTGAAGCATTGCTGGTGTATTATTTGCCTGAAGAGCATCCATTGGTCTTTTTTGAATGGGTCATACAGATGGCAATTTTATATGTCAATGTCTGTTTGGCAATGTTTATTACTCAAGTAAAATTTTTCAAGATTTGGTAGGTCTGCATCTGATGACACTTTCACAAGCAATAAAAACGCTGAAAGTCCATAGCTGAGTGGGATTTGCTGGTACAAGAAATCCAATTTTGAAATAAGCCCACAGAGGCCATAAAAGGAAGGAAAGATAGAGGCAGGGAAAATGACAAACAATAATTTTTTAACCTCCCCTCCCCCCCAAAAAAGAATTTGAAGAACAGATGAAGAGAAAACTATTTACAATAACGATCAGATTGGAGAAAAACATGTTCTGGAAAACTGTCCAGGCATTGCCTCAGTGGCAGTTGAGAGGGTACTGGGGAGCAGCCATTGGTTAGAGAAGCACACACACTGGGAAAGGGCTGCATTAACTGCTTTTAGGCTATGGAAAATTCTGAGGATGTTTGTCAAGAAACCCATATATGTGCATCACAGAAACCACAAAGATGTAATAAATAATTGCAAAATATCTGATCGGTGCCAGATTGGGGAAGTCTGGCATAGTTCAAATCACAGCATTTCTTCAGAGTCTCAAGATACCAACATCCTGAGTCTAGCTACCTGAGATCCATTTAATTGGAGACATGTGGTTGAATCTAAGATTGTCTACATATAATGTTCGCTGCTACTAAGACACTGAAGACACTGAACATCTAATTTTCAGTGTAATAAATTCACAACATCAGTTGTGATCAATGGAATATTGTGTAATTAAGCAATAAGAAATCAAGTTACACACGTCCATCTCTGAAAAAAAAATCCTGATATAAGATGACTTGTGAAGCTGTTTAGTCTGTGTGACCATGAACTGACATTTATTTTTGCACAGTACTACCGTATTTGCCGGTGTACAAGATGACTTTTTGGGCCCAAAAAACATGCCTCCAAGTGGGGGGGGGTCGTCTTGAACGCCGGGTGCACTGAATGACGTGGGGCCACGCTGGCTGGGGAGGAAGGCAAGCGGGCAGGCAGGCAGACAGGCAGGTGGTCTGGATGGAGGGAGGGAAGCACAGCCTGCCATGCCTGAGCAGCCAGAGCCCGCCACCGGGCTGCCCACAGCCCCGCCTCGTGCAGTTGAGCCAGACGCATGCTCGCTCACCTGCCACCTGCCCATTTCCCTCTTCCTCCTCCTCCTCCTGCTGCCGCCACCAGCTCAGCCTCTTCTGCTCTTCCTCGCCCTCTCACTGCCATGCCTGAACCGCTGCTGGGCTGCCCGCCGCACGCTGCTGAGCCAGCCGTGCGCTCCCTCGCCCGCCACCCGCCCATTTCCCCTCTTCCTCCTCCTCCTGTTGTGGGGGGGTCGTCTTATATGGCCGGTCGCCTTGTGCGCCGGCAAATACAGTATTCACTACTGGAGGGAATGGCCATCACAGCATTCTCATTATCTGTCAATTACAGTTAGAACTGCAAACTGAACCACATTTCATGGAACATGTATGTTTACTACAATGGTTGCAACAGTATATTAAAAGGAGGCTTATAAATTAGTCCTTATATGTTTAAAAAAGCAATTATCAATGCATTCCAAATAGGAAATATTTTTAATTTATAGAAGCACTGCAATTAAATTAAAATCATGTATTTGGTTTTGAATGATTTAAAATAGGTGGCAAAAATATTTATACATTTGCTATTTAGTAGTAGAGGATTGTTTCCCAGTGCGTCATTTAAAGAGTTTTGTATTAATGAAGTTTCAAGTAGAATAACAGACCATTTTAAACATATGAACAGGCATTCAATTTATGTAGTTCACTGTGCATACAAATTTTGGAGGTGTGCAAAATACTCTGTTTCTGCTTTAGAGATTTGAAAAATTCAAAATATGAACACAATGCATAACTGTGATCTAAGAAGGGTTGGCTTTCTCCTGTTTTTACTAGTATATATTTTCCTTTCTAAATGCAAAGAACAATCCCAATAATTCCTAAAACCATTTCTACAGTCTTTTAGATTCATACTGTTCTAGAAGATTTAGAGACTCTTGAATTGCTCTGCACTATTACTACTGTGAAGGCTGGCTGCAGAAAATAAAGATGAAAGGGTGTGTGGCTAGGACAGAGAATGGAAAAAGGGGTAACAGTATTCAGACAGTAAAGACAATCAACAGAAAAACAGCAACAAAGAGCCTCATAGCTGTCTTATTACACATACCATATTTTTCGCTCCATAAGATGCACCTCAGCATAAGACGCAGCTAATTTTTAGAGGAGGAAAACAGGAAAAAATATTCTGAACCAAATACTGTAATAAAGTTATATGGTATCTCTATGGGCAGAGTGGTCCCACATGAGGAGATCTATTACTTTATATGATACATTTTGAATTATGTTCACCATTAGGGGAGTGAAGTAGACACCCCAAGGTGCAATACATCAGTGTTAAGTATCAAAAATGCAGGTTTAAGATACCATTAGAGTGGGTTGCTTTGAATAGTATGACAAATCTCAAAAGAACTAAAAGCTTTTCACTCAGTGAGCAACTGAAACAAATCATACTTTTCACCAACAATGCCTCATGTGCCCTTTAATGTCACCAGTCAGCAATCCAGCCAGGAACCCCTCTGTATCATGTTATTTACGGTGCCTGGAAGAGTCTTCTCCCTTTCTCCATGGAGCTCTCCTCTCTCTCTCTGCTTCCCCCAGCGTCTGGCTGGTCACATGATCCGGCTATCCAGTACTACACCACTGGTACTACAGGGCTGCTACGGATGCCCTGTAGTATCAGTGCTACTAATGAGTACAGTACTGGGGGGGGGTCTGTTAAGCCACCACCATTTTGCCTAATCCCGGCAAGCTTGAGGCAGCGTCCTTCCAGATCAACATTGTAAAAATGTGTAATTATTAGACTGACCACTAGAGGGAACCAAACACAATGTATTTTCTTCATAAGACACACAGACTTTTCACCTCACTTTTTTTGAAGGGAAAAGTGTGTCTTATGGAGCAAAAAATACGGTACTTGTCTGTGTAACAGATAATACTCCCATAGGAGGAAGAAAAGAGAAAACATATATCCTACTGCAGAGGGAAAAACAGTAAACCCTGGTAAAAAAATAAGATAGTCAAACTACTATCTCAAGAAGAAGAGAGAAAAGGGAGTTAAGACTGAAGAGAAAGGAGAAAATGGGAATTAAGCCTCAAAAGATTCAAGACATTCTGTACATTAATATCTACAAAAGATGTGTGCTTATGACCTAAATCAAGCATAGTAATGAGTACTATCACATAATACCTACATGTTTTCTCTCTGTTGCCTTCAAAGACTTTGCAGCATAGTAGAAAAGTTGGGTCCCACACAAAGCTGCCCAGTATTTTGTCCAAGATGCTACCTGCAAAAACAGTCATCAGATAAATAAATCCAAGAGGCCTGGTCATTTTATCTTACTTGTCTAGATGTTTAATCCTTCCCCATTTCATGAAATCTGAGCATGATTACAAGAAATCCTTAACTATAAGGCATAATATATACGTCTCCTGCACATCTATTTTTGAAAATTAACTATTACCCTCACTTTCCTTGCAAACCCTAGCACGTCCCAGAATTAGCAGTTAAAGAGGTAGGAAAGCAGTACATATTAAATCAAACAATTTAGTCTGTGGGAAGATGTGCATTCAAGAAGATCTATGAGTTTGCTCTCTGGTTTACACTGAGAGATTGAGACTTGAACCAAGAAGCATTTTAAAGACCTCCTCTCATTCTGTTTCATCAGAAAGTGTCTACAGTTTCAGCCAATCCCAGTGACTAGGAAGAGGCAGGGCACACGACATCAGCAGGCAGTTACCTCATGGATATTGGTAGTTCCTTCACAATTTGACTGTCTGCAATTTTCCCTTCATTGCCTGGTTTCGAATGCCAGATCCTTTGTTCGTAAGGCAGATACACTATTGAACTATTTAATCAGTCTATTTCAGTCACTTTTATTTCAGAGACATGATTTGTTCAGGATGAATTTGTGGCTCTAGACATCTTTTCTACAGGAGGCTACATCTGCTCCCATTCCCCTCTCCTATCATGGTGTGGGGGAGGGATTGCAGTAGTGCTTCAAGTCAACTTTTGCCAGCAAGCCAATCCCTTAGATTGGAATGGATGTTTATCTCCTTCAAGATTCATTCTGTTTCTTTAGTGGATCCAGTAGTGAGACTGATGTGAATTTATTGCCTTCCAAACTCAATTTTGAAATGGACTTCCTAGAAGAATTTTCTACCTGGTTATTTAGCTTTTTGGATATAAAGCTGCCTTTTATAATTGCTTGATATACGACTCCCTTCTGTATTACATATGCATAATCTGACTGCATTATCATCTCCCCCCCAATCATGTTGGCATAGACTGTGAGATTTGTTTATTTATAAGGGGTTAGAATTTTCTCCAGCTACTATTTTAGATAATGGCATTTCTGATCATATTTTCTTGCATTTCTTGATTCTTTCACAATATCTGGAGGAACAATTTGAATTTTCCTAGGTGTCAGAGGAAAGGTTTTCTGCAATTCTGTCTGCCTCTCCTCTAATTACTACTCCTAGTAAGTATTTTCCTTCTTTTCTTTATTCGACTATTCTGTTTCGACTTTTTTTTACCTGTTTTGACCCGGTGACCTGTTCACTTACTGCTGATGAATTCCCAAATTCCTATGTTTTTATCTGTCCTTTGTTGAAAAAAAAAAACCTCACTTGCTCCTTCAATGTGTGTTAATTATCATCCTCTTTCTCTTCTTCCTTTTTGTCTAAAATTTTAGAGAGAGTTGTCCTTTCTCAACTGGACCCTCATTTATCTTGTCAAAATGTCATCAATCTATTTCAATCTGGATTTTGGGCTGGAAATTCAACCGAGACAACACTCTCAAGTTTTGAATAACATCCTAGTGGCCAAGGCTCAACATCATTCATCAGTGCTGGTGCTGCTCGATTTGTCAGCAGCATCTGATACACTTGATCACCAGATTCTTCTCGCAAGACTGGCCTCTTTGGATGTCTCTGGAAATGCTTGTTCTTTGTTTTCTTCTTTTTTGAATCATTATTTTTTCAGTTTCTATGGATGCTAAAACCTCCCAGTCCTTCCCCCTCACTGTCGACATTCCATAGGGTTCAGCGCTTAGCCTGCTTCTTTTTTCTCTATACAAGTTTTCCTTGGGTTCCTTAATTTCTAGTTTAGGTTTTCATTATTACATTTATGCTGATGATACCCAAGTGTACTAGTCTTATCCTTAGCTTGGTGATGAGACTGGGACCATTGAATGTCACTCCTCTCTCCAAGGTTGTTGGGTGACCCCTGTCTCAGAGGTCACAGATCTCAGTGTTCTAGTGGATAACTTGCCTGCCACTCCATTCATTTCTAAACGTGACAGCCCAGGTATGCAATTTCTATCTTGCTAATACCCACTGGAGCTGTCAATTCATGACTCCTGAGACTACAAAGCTCATTATCCTTGCCCTGCTGGGTTCACATCTGGATTACTGTAACAGCCTTTTGACAGGTCTTCTTTGTTTTTCATTTCATTTTCTTACTCTTGTACAGAACAGTGCAGTACAAGTAGTTTTGAATTTACCACATTACTCCCATATTTCCCATCATTCTAGGGCATTGCATTGGCTGTCTATTAGGCCAAGGACATATTTTTAAATATTTGTCCTGACATTTAAACCCCCCCCCCATTCTTCCTATCCTAATTATTTAGCAGAGCTGGTGTCATGGCATATTACAAGGATTTGGTCCGCAAATTCCAGATTTTTGTTGGTCCCTGGACTAAGATGGCAAATTCATAGCTTTGGGCAATTTCCCACTTGCATTCAAAGTTGTGGAATTCTCTTCCTCAATACTTTTGTATGGAACCAATATTGGATAAATTGGAGCCATAGGTTTTAGATGTAGGGGAAGATCACAGTTTTTTGGTGTAGGGGAAGATTAGTGGTTGGAGCCATAGGTCTTGGGCACAGGGAGAGGTCAGTGACTGCTGTATTTTATTTGAACCTTTTAGCTGTTTTTTAGCAGTTGGTTAATGCTGTTTTATTACTGCTTTTAATTATTATTTTATGTAAGACTTTACACAGAGAGGGAGAGACACACACACAGAGAGTCAAGTGAAAAAGAAAATACACTCTCTTTGAATTTTATGGCTTTACATATCAAGACATAATAAAAATCATCTGGTCCTTAGCATGTCTGAAAATTAGGTTAAATATAACCTCAGATGAACAACAACACATGACATATTGCAACTCGTCATGATTTATTTAACAAAAATAAAGCCAAAATGGAGTATACCCTTACTACTTCCATAGCAATTAAGAGGCTAAGTAGCAGCCAGGTGAGGTTACCAAATGCCATTGAGTAAACTGGTCATCAGAAAGCATGACCACCTCTATAAATGCCAAAGTTTTAGCAGTTTGCTGGTCTAGAGCAGTTAGGTGTGTGTTAAAACAATGTTAAGGAACAAACAGATCAGCAGTGATCACAGGGGAACAATAGTTGCTGCCCATCAATCTGGGAAAGGCTAGAAGGCCATTTCCAGACCATTTAAAGTTCTACAGTAAGAAAGATTATTCACAAGTGGAAAACATTCAAGACATCTTGCCAGGAGTGGAAGTCCAAGCCAGTTCACCCCAATGTCAGACCGTGCAATTCTCCGAGAAATTACAAAAATCCCAAGAGTTACATTTCAGACTCTACAGGCCTCACTTAGCAAAAACCAAACATAGCATATCAGCAAAACATATCACAGTGGTGGAGGGGTGATGATTTGGGTTTGTTTTGTACCTACAGGTCCTGGGCACCTTGCAGTCATTGAGTCAATCATGAACGTCTCTGTATTACACCAAAACATTCTAGAGTCAAATGTGAGACCATCTGTCTGACAGCTCAAGTTTAGCCAAAACTGGGTCATGCAACAGGACAATGATCCCAAGCAAATTGGTAAATCTACAACAAAATGGCTGAAAAAGAAAAGAAACAAGGTGTTGCAATGGCCCAGTCAAACTTCAGACCTTAACCCAATTGTGATGCTGTGGCAGGACCTTAAGAAAGCTGTGCAAAAACAAATGCTCACAAACCTCAATGAACTGAAGCAACACTGTAAAGAGTGGGCCAATAGTCCTCCACAATGATGTGAGAGATTGATAAAGTCTTACAAAAACATTACTTCAAGTTATTGCTGCTAAAGGTGGTTCTATAAGCTATTGCATCATAAGGTGTACTCAGTGTTTCACACATGGCTTCTTCATTTTGGCTATGTTTTTCGTAGATAAATCATGACACATTGTAATATGTCATGTGTTGTTCATCTGAGGCTATATTTACCTAATTTTCAGACCTGCTAAGGACCAGATGATTTTTATTATGTTTTGATTTATAAAACCATAGAATTCAAAGAGGATGTACTTTCTTTTTCACATGACCATATGTTGTGGTTATGTGCCATCAGGACACCTCTAACTCATGGTGACCCTGCGAATGAGCATCTCCAAAATGTCCTGTCCTTAGTCACCCTGCTCAGCTCTTGCAGACTCAAAAGTCTGTGGTCTCTTTTATGGAGTCAGTTCATCTCATATTTGGTCTTCCTCTTTTCTTGCTGTCTTCCATCTTTCACAGCATTACTGTGTTTTTCAAATAATCTTGTCTTCTCATGATGAGCCCAAAGTAGGACAGCCTCAGTTTCAACATGCTTGCCTCCAAACAGAATTCAGGCTTCATTGGATCTAGAACTTACTAGTTTGTCTTTCTGGAAATTCAGGGTATCCGCAAAACTCTCCTCTAGCACCACATTTCAAATGAATCAATTCTATCTGGCGTACAGCACATTACTACTACTACTACTACTACTACTACTACTACTACTACTACTACTACTGCTATTGCTACTGCTACTGCTACTGCTACATATTAGATTGAAACATATGCTCTAGCATGTAACCTAGGTATCAAGGTGATGATTGAAGACTTACTTGTTGCAAGAAAAAATGCTTAATATAGATTAAAAATTTGTTGTCTATAACATGGATAAATTAATACCTTGGCTAGTAACAGCCATATTTCTTCTCGGTCTTAGAACTGAAAAACTTTAAGAAAAGAGAGTGAGCTATGATGTGTGCCAACAAGCCCAGAAGGAAGAGAAAACTTTCTCCAAAGAAAATTTTCATCATTAAGCTCTTGCATTGACATTATGATTTGTGGAGGGAATATAATTGAAGACTACTGACTACTTTACAATCTATGTTGTCTTCTAATCTAGTGATGATGGATGGCCTTTAAATTACTGTTCAATTCCATCTCTTTTTACTCCTCACCATTGGCTAGTCTGGCTATGGCTGATGGGAGCAAGTGTCTGGTATCATCTGGAGACTTACACATTCTCCACCCCTATTTGAACATGTCATGATGGCCTGGAGGCAAGAATTGCCTGTGCATCCCTTCAGAATATGTTACATGTCATTTATTTCCAGATTGGTAAACCATAAGTACAGCTAGCAGTTCCCACACTACTCCCCCAGATTAAAAAAAATATCACCACAGGATTAATACCCATTCATGGTATGGTACCCAATGCTCATCAATTTAAATTTATAGCATATTTAGATATAAATATATACAACTATAGATATAAATGCTTAAGTCATTTCTAAGTTCACCTTAGTTATCTCCTATTATAATACAGTAAAGACCAAAGAAGTGACTTTTAAAAGTGCAAATGAAGTGTGACTTTCTGTTTTCTGAAAATTAGTGCAGATTCAAAGGAATCTGCTAAAATAATCATTTTCCATGGCAGTGGGTTCTCACATGATCTGTAATATGCAATAACCGTGTATCACATGGGTGATCTGAAGGAAACGTAGGCAACTGGCAATTCTCCAGATGTTACAGTTTCCATAATCTCAGATCATTGCATATTGACTTGGTCTTAATGGTAGTTCTAAATTAAAAGAGCTACGCCTATGAGATTCATGCGAGATCTAGCCAATACCACTAGTGTGCAAAAAGCTTCTTACTATAACAAGAATCCTATGATCTAACAACAGTCCCTGTTATGGCCTGGGATGCAACATCTACCACTTCAAAGAGTATTTCAGGAGTATCAGGGGAAGGAAAATAATTTATAGGTATCATTTGAATTGGCTATAAGCTGAACTGTAAAGACATTTCACCCCTTTGTGGCTTAAAAAGTTATGAATAACTGACATGAAAAAGGAATAAATGCTGATCCAATTTTTAAATATGCACTTTTTTGAAGAACAGAATAAATTGAGATGGCAAACACATCAAATTATTTATTCAGTTTCTTACTGTTGGTTTTTTGCCTTCTTTCAACAATGTCTTTCTTCTGAGAACACCTTGAATAGTAACAGCTCCTGGATACAAATGAACAGCCAAGTCTTCAGACTCTGCAGAACTATAAAAATATGAGTAAAGAAAGGGAAGATGCAAACTGTCCCAAGAGCAGTTCCCAAGCATGACTTAACTTGTTATTAATACCTGTGTCTATAAAGTTTTGCCATCTCATTACTGCATATGATTGTGGAAAAACACCTTGATTGCAGAGCAACATCTTTTATGAATTTTACTCCTCAAAGCACATGTAAATGCTAAGACGGTCCTTCAGTTCAGCAAATGAGTCATAAATAAAAATAACTTCCAATACTCTGGATAGACATAATGCAACTACAATTACTTTTAAGAAGAGATAACATTTCTATTCCATTTTTAAAAAAATTCTACCATCCCCAATAATTTTTCTATTGTTCTTTCAGGATTCTTGTGATCTGGTAAAAATAGTACATTTGTCAAAAACTCATCTGAGTTACTGAAATTAAGAAACGCAGGAGCACAATACATGCACAACACCATAACAAGATATTTTGAAGTAGTAACAGAAACAGTAGGAAAACAAAAGGCGTGATCCAGAGAAAGGAACTGATGCTGTTTTAACACAGCGTGTGTTCTAACAAGTGAGCAGCTGATTATCTTTTAAGAACAGGACATATCTGACTGATGCAACTTGTTGTGTCAGCATATGCCAAGCAGTTTATGTAGGCACATCCATCAATTCTCAATAGACAGTCTTAAGGAGTAACCATTTCTTTCGCGTCTTCTATCTTTCATCTATATGTCACATGTAAATCAAAAGATCGGGCATGCCAAGGCTTCTCCATGAATTTTGACAAAGAACCCCATACATAATTCAGTTCTAGACAATGCCTGGTTTTCTTGTTCAAATTGTTTCTTGTACAAGAATACTGCATAGGCTCAGGTACAAATTTAATTGGAAATATAAAATAGTTTCACATATATGGAAGCTTCCAGAGTTTTGCCTAAAATGCCATTCAAAATCTTGATTAAGCCAAAAACTCTTTTCTCTGACACACTTCCCCCCCCCCCCAATTTTTATGGCTAACAATGAGAAAAAACAGTGCAAAATTCTGAGTAAAAAACATACTTTCAGTGCAAGGGAGTCAGGCTTCAGTATTATTCTTGCTACCCCAATTAGTTCCAGCAGTAGTAGTGTAGTGCTATTATATTTTAAAAAGCAGACTTACTCTGGGTAACAGTCTGATATTATTTTAGATTAGAAGAAGTCCCAAGAGAGGGAAGGCCAATTTTAGATGAAAAGTTTATGAACATGATTTCATAAGGAAGTTAGAAACATTAAGAATGCATCCACTCCAGTACCAAGTCAGCCACCAATGCCAGAGGAAAAAGTGTGATCCCCTGAACACAAGGGGGGTTAGTACCTGCTGCCCTTCAAGTGGCCTCGATAACCATTTCGTGCCATTCTTGTCACCGGACCAAGAGAATGGTATAACCTGTTCCTGTTGGATTCCATTATAAATTGTATGTATTATATTTACATCATTTAAATTCAGTCATCATCATTAGTTAGAACACTATAATAAGCTTCCTGATACATTGCAACTACCTATTTTTCTGCAAGCAACAACATATTTGATTAAATATAATTTTCTTATTTGGACACATATTCTTAATGAGTTCATACAGCACTAGAGTATTTTTGTTGGCATTCCAATGAGTGGTTTGAGAAGCAACACCAACAAAACCACACACAAAATATAAAGAAAAAACAAAGCAAAATGCCCGTTTTATAACCTACCTTTAAAAAAAATATAGTGCATTACATTGTTAAATCTACTAAGACAAGATATTGCTATATCTTTGCATAAAGCAAAACAGGTCCCTGTTTGACTGGTATTATAAGGAACTAATATGCCAACTTAAATTAATATTATTTTGATTTAATAATTATACTTGTGATGTACTGTATTATTATATAAAATAATCACACATTGTTTCTCTTATTGAAGGATGAAACACTGTAATAAATGGCAAACAGAACAGCCACGCTTATCTCAAGTCATCAGCAATTATACCATTTCACTTTTAAAACAAGTCAAGACTTTGGGATAGAAAACCAACACTATTTTCTATGAGTCAGGAAGACTGTAATAGTAAAAATAATACAGACAGAAATAATTATCTTGGATCAAACACCTGTACTACCACTTTGAAAGTCAATTATTCTTGTGTTAAATATTAATAAATTCTTTAACAAATTCAGGGTATATAAACTGTATTTATTTATAGCTGTACATATTAGACTCCAGCTCCTCTCAATATTTGTACTGAGAGACAGTTTCACCTGAGACTACCTGAAAGAGTTTTGATTTTGGATAAAAGTTTATGTGCTCCTTTAGTTTAAATTTTAATGCTATGATGGTGAAAAAAGCTGCAACAGGAACATAACCATGGTTCTAGCAGTTTAAGCTAATATGAGTTTACACTGTAACACTGTTGCTTTCTCAGTGTCAAATAAATTTGAAACACTGGCTCCAAATGCTGTGGTTTGCTTCTTGGAAAGCAGATTAACCAGGATCAACAAATCTCAAGAGACTCTGAATGCAATCTTTTCATTCTACGCATCCTTGTCTGACAGTGAATTACTATAGTACAAACAACTATATGCCACCATGTGGCTCAGCTGTAAAACCAAAGGTTTTTAATTTATTTATGCATCTATGAATTGATCTGGAGACAATTTCATGCTTCAGCACATTTCCTAACATGTTCAAAGCCACAACTTTTCCAGTAGTCTGATACTGTGAAGAAGGAATTTATTTGCAGAAGACAAGCTTTCTATTGCCTTATCTCTTAGTTAGCAAGTCTGTGGGACAGAAAACTGTGTTACTTACTTGTAAGTAGAGATGGGGGCATTTGTATTCGTATATGAATATCCCTGCACATGTGGAAATAACGAGAGTCTGGCCCCATGGGCCGGACTGTCCACTCATGATTTTGCCACTGCTGCTGACTCTGGGGAGGCTTCCTATCGTGCTGTTCTCTGCAATGGATTAGCCAATCTCCGACCTAGCAGAGAGGCTTGCCATCCCACCTCCTGCCAGGACTGGGTAATCGATTGTGGACAATGGCATGATAGGAAGCCTCTGCGGAGCTGGAGGCAGCGGCGAAATCGTAAGTAGACAGTCAGGCCCCATGGCGCCGGACCCTTGTTATTTCCACCTATGCAGGGATATTCAGATTCATATACAAACACCCCCATCTCTATTTGTAACTGAGGTTCTTTGAGTGGTTATCAGTGAATTCGTGGCACAGTGGTTAAACCGCTGTACTGCAGCCAAAACTGTGCTCACGACCTGGGGTTCAATCTCAGGTAGCCGGCTCAAGGTTGACTCAGCCTTCTATCCTTCTGAGGTCGGTAAAATGAGTACCCAGGTCGCTGAGGGGGGGCAATGAGTAGCCTGCATAATTAACTTGTAAACCACCCAGAGAGTGCTTGAAGCACTATGGGGTGGTATATAAGCAGCATGCTTTGCTTTTGCTTTGAATTCACACACATGGGGTTTGTTTTCTGCACACACAGACTTCTGGGAATCTTCTAGAGCCTTAGATTGGAGAAACCACGCCCACTTTCCCTACATATGCTCTGCACCCTGCACATTGTCTCTCAGTTCCCACAGTCTGTTGTTGTGCCATTTTGAGGCAATGGGTTGTGTGATGCTGTGGGGAGGCAGGGTGGGTTGTGTGAATCCACAGATAACCCCTTGAAGTAATCTAGTCATCTTCTTTGTGGCATCTGGGAAGTCACACATGTGGGTGATTAGCAAGCTAGAATCAACTCAACACCAGGACAGATGTCATGGCAACACTGAAGCAATGACAGCATTGCCGAAAGAGGTGTCCCGTTGGCTCAAATGTCCAGCTGGTAGTGGTGGATGAATGTGGATGGCATCGACCACTTGCAGATATCTGGGAGGCAGGCACCACATAGGAAGGCAGTGGATGCTGCTGTTGCTTGAGAGGAATGGCCTTGTAGAGGGCTTAGGAGTGGCTTGTTAGCAATCTGGTAGCAGAGCTTGATGGTGGTGTTTGGATGATGGTGGGAGTACTAACAAAGCATCAGCATGACCATGGCCATAGAAAACAGCCTCTGTATTGAAGAATCGTGTGACACCTGGCTGAGCATCGGTGGGATTCGAAGCTGGTTGGGATCAAGAATGCTTTGTATTATCATACAGGGCTCTGGATCCAGGTGATGATTTCCTTGATACCAAGGGTGAGAAATAAAAGGTTGCTGCCTCTGATATTGCAGGTTTGGTGGGTCTCTTGGATGCTAAGTGCATGATAGAGGTTGGTACCAGGTGCTGAGGAAAAACTCTCTGGGAGTGTGGTCTTTGGGAGCAGTCCAAGGGAGAATCAAAAGAATCAGATTACTGAGGGGTTGAAGCCCTCTTTCATTTCAGGGAATGGTCTCAATGTCACAGTTGATAAGAGGATAGGAGGGTGATCCTAGGCAAGTCTAAATCATTTTGAAAGTGGAGAGGGAGACTGTGGAATGTCTTGATACCAGAAGGTTGAAGGCATTGCATACAATGTGAAAGTGTAAGAGTCCCATCTAGACTTATGTTTTGGTATCATGGCTAGCCAAGATAGAGCCCAATCTGGAGGAAGTACAGGACCGTTGCGAAGAAGTGTGGCTCTGGGTTGTCAGGGTTGTCGTATACCCTATAGTATAGGTGCACAGACTTCATCTGAGCCTTTCCATGTTTCATTGTTGAAACCTGTGATCAAGAGAGGAGTGAGCAGGAGATGCTGCCACCATAGAGGGCTCTTTAAGAATCTTAAGGGTGTGCTGAGCAAGGCAGACCCACTCTGGCAAGGCATCAGAAGGGGATAAGTTCAGATGCGGGGCAGTCTGACCAGGTCCACAGGCTCATACTCTGGCTCTGAATTGAGACAGACACATTCATTGACCACTGGTGGGACCTCTGGGATGGCCTGAGGTGTAGATATTGGAGTTGGTGCCAAGGGCTTAGATTTCTTTGATTTGGATTTCTTTAGTGGTATCTGGACTCTAGACCGTTTCTTCTTGTTGGACAACAATCTCGATGTTTGTGCAGCACTTGAAGAAGGGAGCTCAGGAGTCACTCTGGATGGCATTTCAGAGGTGTTAGGCACTAGTTGTGGGGTGTTTGTAGCAAGTGTAGAAGGCTCCATTAGGGTTGGTAATCAAGGCCTTGTAGCATTTAGCCCCGCCCTCACCTGTCCGTCACAGCTGGGCAGTGGAACAACAGTCAATGAGGGGACAGAAGGTGGTGCCGAAGGGGGAGGAGCTGGAATATATAAAGGGGGGTATGATGTAAAGAGGGGAGATTAGAGAGAGATTTTGTGAGAGTGAGTGATGAGTGTGCCTATGGGCCTGTGAGCCAAACAGTCAGTGAGGGAAGAGTCTGTGTGTGTCAGTGAGTGAGAGACCTTGATTAACATTTTGTGATTTACTTCCTTTATTTTGTTAAACCAATAAACAAGTTTAAGTTTTGAAGAAACACATGATTCAGTGATTTATTGGTATTGAAACAGCAATACCTGGTGGCAGCTGCCTGAGAAGAAGAGTGAGCACTCCAGGAGGCCTGAGTTGGTAGAGGCTTCAGCGTGCCTGCTACATTAATTGGTGTCCAGCGTGTGGGATCCGTGCTTGACCCAATAAAGCCTTGGATTGGAAAGGTGCCCAGAGCAGAGAAGATCTTTAGTCAGGGAATCTGAGTGGATGAGTGGGTAACTTCCTAGGACTTTTCTCAAGGGGAGAAAGTCTAGTAGGAGGGCTCTGGAACTCAGATTGAGGGGCTAAGATAGGGAGGCTCTGTGGAAACCATTTCTGGAGAGAGTTACCCAAAGCAGAATCTGTGGCAGGTTGGCTAGCTTGCCCTGAGTTCAAGGGAGAGCTCTGAGGGGACAAAGCGGAGGCCAAGGGCAGATAAGCTGAGGGGACTCAAAGTCAGCTAAACCTAGGATAGGGTGAAGCTGTGATTTTAAGTGGTTTTGGTGCCTGAGGCAGGGAAAGAAACTCTGTCTTTGGTGACAGGCCTAGCTGGTTGACAGAGGCCTAGACACTGTAGCTAACTTACCAGTGGATGAGTGCTGGAAAGCTAAGTTGTAACACAGACTCTCACTGACAGGAAAAAAAGTGTACTTTTAAATTGAGGCTTGAAAGTTGAATCAGAAGCCTGAGTAAAGGAACATGCCTTTAACAGGGGAAAGAAAGCTGAGCAAGTGCCTTGTGAAATGGCTGTTGGGTCAGATAAAGAAAATGGGGATTCTGGGGAAGAATTTACCTCAGATCAAGAAAGGGAGACTTCCAGGGGGGACGACCCAGTAGAATTCAGAAAGTGGAAATTGGAGCTAGAAATGAAGGCCAAAGCTGAGGAAAGAGCCTTAGAAATGAGACAGAGAGAAATGGATGCAGAAATGGAAAAAAAAAGATGGCCTTAGAAATGGAGAA